ACTCTGCAAATCACTGGCTCCCCATCATAGACTAGTTATTAATGCTCCCCTGGCCTATCAATCAACCAAAGATGTGAGGATGCTCAGGTCAGAGAATGGACCTGAAAAGGAAGGCCAGCAGGCTTCAACTTGGTCTTTGGAAATTTTTTAAAGGGAGGAAGAGATGGTCAGTAGAAGGGCAATGTGATCAGGGGAAAACCCCCGAATGTGTGTTTGAGCCCACACTTAACAGCTGTGCGATCTGAGACAAACCAATCAACCTCTCTTTTTCCTCAACTGAAAAATGAGTGTACTATTAATACTGGGTTCGCAGTGCTGCCTGGAGGTGAGGGCCCGCATGAGCCATAAAATGCCACACAATTACTGGTTCTTGTTTCCTTATTACAATTCCTGGCAGAGATAACACTAGGCTACTTGAATACAGGTGTTCTCCTTTGCACTCTTCGGAGCTTTACAGAAGAGTGTATGAACCATCCATCCCAGTTTGTGTGAGACTGCCCTGATTTCAGCAACATACATCCTAGAAAACCCTTCCTCAGTCCTGGGCAATCTGGAATGTTGGTCATGCCAGGAGCATGTCCACAGAGCACTTGGTGGCCCACATCCATCCAGGAGGCCTCCAATCCCCACTGCAAGGTAACGGTTGCTTGCATGGTGGGATAAGTCAGCAGCAAGCTGGTTACTTCTTCATAGCTAAGAAATTCTTCAGGGATAAGATTTGATTTTGAGCTTTCACTTATGGCTCAGAAATCACTTAGGGGAACATTGTGCAAGCCTGTACTCTTGAGAAAGGGCACTGTGCCTTCCAAAGCTTTATTTTTAAGCTTAAATAATCACATCATATTATGGCATAAGAAATCATCATACAGAAAATATCAACTTACTAAGCAAAATATTAGGAGGTGATAAGTCATGTTACAAAATGACTACCTATACCTTATTTCTGGTATTAGTTTAAGCTCCTTGTGTGTGTAGGGGCATGAGAGGTCACCTTTGTGTTCCTCACAGAGTATTTTAAAGATTGCTCATGTAGTGAATATTAAATAAATATCTGGATAATGAATCTGTCTATGATTAAAACATTCATTAAAGTAAATATTAAAATATTTTATAAGTCATTTACTTCTTAGGAGCTGAGTCCTCTAAAATTTGAGAAGCTATTATCAGTTGATGGGCAATTAGAAAAGGAAAATAAAGCAAGTCTGGAATAAAGCCACATTATTTGTTTTCTAAAAAAAATTATAATTGCATAAAATTTTCAGAACTGCAACTATTGAGCAAAGTGCTACATTAGAAATCATGAAGATGCTTGCAAACAGAATTTTAGGCCAAAGAAATCTCTGTGGTTACTTAATCTCTTTCTTTTTACCAAGTGCTAGAATTGCATACTCCCAATACAGAAAGATATTGTCATTTTTTTCCTTCTTTCCTGTTGGCTTTCATTTTTTACAAATTACGCACATAATATTAAGTTGCATGTTATGGTATATCTTTAAAAGTTCCTTAGTTTTGGGGCACCAGGCTGGTTCAGTTAGAAGAGCATGAGACTCTTGATCTCAGGATTGTGGGTTTGAGCCCCACGTTGGGTGTAGAGATTGCTTAAATAAATATAAAAATAAAGAAATAGGGGCGCCTGGGTGGCTCAGTCACTTAAGCATCTGCCTTTGTCTCAGGTCATGATCCCAGGGTCGTAGGATCAAGCCCCACATGGGGCTTCCCACTCAGTGGGCTCCCTGCTCAGCAGGGAATCTGCTTCTCCCTCTGTCCCTCTCCCCACCACTCATGGTCCCTCTGGCTCTTTCTGTTCTCTCTCTCTCAAATCAAATAAAAATTTTTAAAAATGTGGCTTCTAATGGGGGTTATGATAAACTGGTACCCGACACACCACTGGGCACACGTGTTTTGGGTCACAAATATTTATCATCATTGAGCACGATCTTGGAGATAGCTAAGAATCACTTTTGCCCTTTCAAAACCTTCCAGGTCCCTCAGAACTAAACTCTGAATTATCCTCCTTGGAGTTAACGCTCTATCGTTCCTAAAATGCCCAAGGGTCATACTTTCTTGCCTTATGGACTAAAATATTTCGTATGATATTAAAACATCATCTTGTCCATAAAATACACTACCATCTTTCTCATGTTTTGCACAAGCATAGTTAATGATGCAAATAATTTCCTATCTTTCATTCTGAGGGAAAATCATTAATAAAACCATACTCCTTGCAAGAAGCGAAATTCAGCACTAAGAGGGCACAGACCACCCATAAAGGCAAGACATAAGTTCGCAGTGAGGAAACAAGCCTAATGATTATAGTGTCCAGATGGAAATGAGTAACTGAATCATTCTCTGTCAAATCAAATAGCATCTTAATAAGTTGTTGCATCATCCTGTTGATTTAATTTAACGGGAAGATATCAGAAAATGAGTACAACCTGCAACAGTATCATTTCCTGGACTCATTCATTAGCATTTGGCCTGGGAACCCTCTCCTTTTGTTCTGAAGGTGGAGTTACCCCCCAAATGATCTTTGGGTTTCTTTCCTTCAAAAGCAGCCCATGTTAAAAAGAGAAATACCCCCAAACTGGAATTAAATTATTGGAATTAAAAAACTGGAATCCCAGTGTTTGGCCAAATCTTTTATCACAGAAAGAATTCAAACACTTCTTTTCCCAGGCAAGCTGGTAAGTACAAGTTGTCATGGAAACAGGATGTATTCAAATTATATGAGAAATGACGTTCTTCATCTAACTAGGTGTTCATTGCCTCTAAATGGGGAGAAATTGTTGTAGCTGAAATCCATTATATTTCTTTCAAATCTGCATTAAAAACAATCATTTCCTTTACTTTATATAGGAATACACAGACACAAAACCTCACTCTCATGAAAGGGAGAATTAAAATCACTTGCAAAGGAACTGGTGCGTAAATAAAAAGACATAAAATGAAAACGAATCCCATGATATAAATCTACTGACGCATAGTGAAGGGGTGGAAGAATGGAAATATAATACATCCTTCACCTGCAATGGGACATATTTTTCTTCAGTAGCATTGGTGACTATTTTTTATAGAATGATCTAGGCCAGAACAGTTTTCTAGAAGTTAGGGTGGTTTGCTACTAGGTGTATTGTCACTGCTGCTGATTAGAGCAGAGGCCCTTGTTATTCTACACATGCCTATGGAAGACACAGAAGAAAGGCAATGGTGTGCTGAACAGATATTTCCCACTACTTAATAAGGCAATTATTAAGAAACACATGGCATAAGCTAATTTTGTAGGGAAGGATTTACAGCACAGAAGCCCCATGAGGCCACAGTTGTACCTAAGAGGCAGCCTGAAATTCTTTTTGGATCAAGGTAATCCTGGGGAAACCTCTTTTAATTTTTTTCAGGTGAAGATAATTTCTCTACTTCCCTCAAAAAGGAGAAAACAGATTTTTTATTTTCGCAGCCTAGAATGCTGAGGTGTCAAGAAAACCCTCATAGCACTGAAGACAATAATAATTCAAATTAAAATGCCAACAGCTCCAAAATAAACAAAGAACTCTTAAAATTCAACAAGAAGAAAATGAACGGACTAATTTTAAAATGGGCAATGATCTGAACCCGACAGCTCACCAAAGAAAATATACAGATGGCAAATAAGCATATAAAAGATGCTTCACATCATCTGTCATTAGGAAACTGAAAATTAAAACAAAGAGATTCCATATACACCTATTAGAATGACCAAAATCCAAAACACTGACAACAGCAAATGCTGATGAGGATGTGGAGCAATAGAAACTCTAATCATACTGGTGGGAATGCAAAATGGTACAGCCACTTCAGAGGACAGTCTGGCAGTTTCCTATAAAATTAAACATACGCTTACCATACAATCCAGCAATACGGCTACTTGGTATTTACTCAAAGTAGTTGAAAACGTGTTCATACAAAAATATGCACCCAGACATTTATGGCAGTTTTATTCACAATTGCCAAAATATGGAAGCAACCAAGATGTCCTTCAGTAGGTGAGTGGATAAATGGAAATGGTATGTCCATTAATTGGAATTGTATTCAGTGATAAAAAAGAAATGGATTATCAAGCCATGAAAAGACATGAGGAAGCTTAAATAAATATTACTAAGTGAAAGAAGTCGATCTGAAAAGGCCCTATACCATATCAGTCAAAATATACGATACTCTGGAAATGGCAAACCTATGGAGAGAGTAAAAGATGAGGGGTTGCCAAGGGTTAGGCGAAGGGAGAATGAACAGACAAAGCAAAGGGGATTTTTTAGGGCAGTGAAACTCTTTTGTATGATACTGTCATGGTGGACACATGTCATCATACATCTGTCAAAACCCATAGAAGGTAAAGACCAAGAGTGAACCCTAATGTAAACTATGGATTTTGGGTGATAATGATGTTTCAATGTAGATTCATTGATTATAACAAATGTACAAATCTAGTGAGGGGTTTTGATAGTGGGGGAAGTTGTGCATGTGCACGTTTAATGGGAAATCTCTATACTTTGCTTGATTTTGCTGTGAACCTAAAGTGCTTTAAAAATAAAGGCTATTAAAAAAAATACCAACAATGACAATAGGTACCATTTCATGAGTGTTTAGCTATGTTCCACATTTACTTACCTATTCCACATATCAGTCCTGTAAGTAGGTATGATTATCATCCCTATTTTATACATTGGAGGCTCTAAAGGGTTGAATAACATTCCCATAATTACACAGCAAGAAGTATGGAGTTCAAACCAAAGTCAGCCTGGTTCCAAGTCTGTGCTCCTACATTTGCAAACTTACCTCTAGAGGACAAGTTTCACCTCCCTGCAGTTATCCCTCTAACATAATGACAAACCAGACGGGCCTTTGACTTAGGGAAGTTTTCAAATTATGCCCCCAAATGTTTAAAACTAGAACACTGTAGAAAAGGGCCTGTGTATCTGGTGTACAAAGCATATGTACACCTATTAAAACACGATATGGAATCTGGTAAGCAGTGGAGTTGAACTACAAATTAACAGCAGTTAAGCATTTGACATAAGGTTGGTTGAGTCATCTGCTTTGGGAGAGGGGCTGTTTAAGAGATGTAAACCCACAGATCTAAGAGAATCTCCGTGAACTCCAGATACAAAATCATAAAGAAAATTACACTGAGGCAGAACATAATCAAATTGCTCAATACCAGGGGGAAAAAAAAGGACCCATTATGAACAGAAAAACAAAAATATTCGAGGAGATTTTCCATAGGAAATAATAAAAGCAAGAAGATAGGAGCAATCTCCTTAAAGTACTGAAAGAAAAAAATGTCAACCTAGAATTCTAGAGGCAGTGAAATATCTCTTCTGAAACAATGGAAAAGAAGTCTGCCTCCAGAAAGATGGAGTCGACATGCTTTTCCCAATTCCTTGTACTTGGTACAGTGAAAAGTCCTGAACACTACCTATAAACTAAACAGAAGAGGGCTGTAAAAGGTGGCAAGAAGGTGGCATACCAGCTAGGAACCTTGGCAGCCAAGGAACAACACTGTGCTCTGTGCCGTGGGTTTTCTTGGTGCCTCACATACCCCAGACGTGGAGCTGGACAAGCTGGCATCCTCGAAATGCCAATGAGGAGAGGCAGAAAAAGCCCAAGAAAAATTGGCTTTCTCTCTAGCCAAAGGACAAGAAAAGCAGAAGCCTACCAAGAAAGAAAACTTTTAGACGAGAATTGCTGTACACCAGCTAAACACCACAGAACAACTATGACCCCACCTCCTACCCAAGTCATCAAGGCAACACGGGAGTGTAGGCATCTACCGTCACGGGGGCGGGGGGTAGATTAAACAAAGAAACAATGACAAGAACAACAACAACAAAAAGACCCCTCATGATCCAATAATATCTATAAAAAAACTCACTTCAAATATACAGTATGGGTAGAATTAAAGGAAAAGGACAGAAAAAGATATTTCATGTAAACATTAACTTAAAAAATGCTAAGAGTGGTTATATTAATATCCATTATATATAATATCTGTTATAATTAATATCTGGTTATATTAATATCCGACTTCAAAGCAAAGTTTACTAGAGACAAATGAAGATATGACATAATGATGAACAAATCAACTTAAGAAGACATAATGACCCCAAATATGTGTGCACCAAGCACCAGAGCCTCACAATACAACAAAGCAAACCCTGAGAGAGGGGAAAGCAGATAGGCAGTTACAGTTCAGAACTTAAACATCCCACTTGCAGCAACTGATAGAAATACTAGGCAGAAAATCAGCAAGAAAGAAAGGTTCCAGAAGGTTCCAGAAGAAATGAATAACAAAGTTTAGCCAACAGTACATAACTGACATATATTGCACTTTAGCAGAATACACATTTATTTTTTAAATGCTCCTGGAACATTCGCCAATGTAGATTACACCCTGGATATAATACAAACCTCAACAAATTTAAAAGAAACCACTAATAGAAAGACAACAGGAAAATTTCCAAACACATCAAAACTAACAGTATACATATAAATAATCCATTGGCTAAAGAGAAATCTCAAAGAAAATTTAAATATACATACAACTGAATGAAAATGAAAATACAACATATTAAAATATGTCAGATGCAGCTAACACACTGCTGACAGGATATTTTACAGTGTGAAATGCTTACTTTACAAAAGAAGAAAAGTCTGACGTCAGTAACATAAATTCCTACATTAATAAACTAAAAGGAGAAGGGTTCAAAGTAAACTAAATCAAGAAGGAGGAAGGGGAAAAAATAGCAAAAATCAAAAAAATTTAAAAAAAAATAAAGATGTTTACAGACATCCGAAAGCTGAAAGTATCCATCACCAGTAGACCCATGCTACAAAGAAGGTCACATGAAGTTCTTCAGGAAAAAGAAAAATGATACCAGAAGGGAATTTATATCTACAGAAAGGAGTAAAAAGTACTGGAAATGGTAATCACATGGGTAAATATATGAAAATTTTCCTTACATTTAAAATCTCTTTAAAAGACAATGGACTGTCAAAACAAAAATAATAAGAAAATAGTATGAGGTTTAAAACACAAATAAAAGGAAAATATGTGACACTAGCACAAAGTTTGGGAGAAAATGAAAGTACGCCATTTGTAAGTTTGTACACTGTATGTGAAGAGGCACAGTATCACCTGAAGACAGACTGTGGTAAGTCAACGACTACACTATAAACCCTAAATAAAGCACCGAAATAACAAAGCAAAAGATTATAGCTAATAATCCAACAAAAGAGACAAAAAAGGAATCATAAGAAACATCTAATTAATCCAAAAATAGGTAGAAAAACAGGGAAAAGGGAACAAAGAACAAGTAAGACAAGTAAAAAACAAATAACAAGATGACAGATTTTAATCTTACCACATTAATATTCACATTAAATGTAAATAGTCTAAATATCCTAATTAAATGTTAGGGATTGTCAGATCAAGACCTACCAATAATACTCCCTACCAGAAACACACTTTAAATATAAAGACAGAAACAGGTGAAAAGTAAAAGGATTAGAATGTTTTCCTTTCTGCAGGTAGTATACGAAAACTTGCAATTTAACAAATATTTACTGAGCACCTTCTATGAGCCAAGAATATATAAGAAAAACTGTTAAGAGAACAAAAGAATTGTAGGAATTCATTCAAAACCACACACCTGAGGACATGCATAAACACAGGTGCACATCTTAAATCTCAGGTTTAGACTGTAAGCAAAACTGTAAGTTACCTTGATCCTTAGCTTGATTTTATGAACATATCCTACCATAAAATAATTTTTAAAATTATTTTTAAACAGAAATAGATATACTGTGCTACTTCTAATCAAAAGAAATCAAAAGAAAACTGGAGTTGCTATATTAATATCACACTAGGAGAATTTTAAACCAAAGAATATTATGGGGAATGAAGAAGATCAATTAATTATATAAAAGAGTCAATTCACCAAGACGACAAAACAATTCTAATCATTTTCACTCCTGACAACACAGCTCCAAAATACATTAAAAAAAACTGTTACAGCATCAGAAAAAATATATGAATCCACACTTATAGTCCAAAATTTTATTTATTTATTTTTATTTATTTTTATTTTATTTATTTTTTTAAAGCTTTATTTATTTATTTATTCATGAGCGACAGAGACAGACAGAGAGAGGCAGAGGGAGAAGCAGGCTCCCAAGGAGCAGGGAGCCCGATGTGGGACTCGATCCCAGGACCCTGGGATCATGACCTGAGCCGAAGGCAGACGCTTAACCATCTGAGCCACCCAGGCACCCTATAGTCCAAAATTTTAACACTCCTCTTTCAATAACTGATAGAACGGGTAGACAGAAAATCAGTAGGAATATAAAATATTTTAACTTTATTGAATACAAAAATATTCAAATTAACCTGATTGTCATTCACAGAATATTCTACCCAACAACCACACAATATATATTCTCTACAGGGGCACATGGAATGTTTAGCAAGATAAACCATACTCTGAGCCATAAAACAACTCTCAATAAATTTAAAAGAATTCAAGTCATACACGTATGTTCTCTGATACAATGGAATTAAACAAAAAATATAAAACAATTTTATATAATCCATGGTTTAAAAAAGTCATCAAGAAAGAAATTAGAAAGTATTTTGAAATAAGGGGGCGTCTGGGTGGCTCAGTTGGTTAAGTGTCTGCCTTCAGCTCAGGTCATGATCTCAGTGGGGAGCCTGCTTCTCCCTCTGTCCCTCCCTCTGCTCATGCTTTCTCTCAAATAAATAAATAAAATCTTAAAAAGAAAAAAAAGAAAGTATTTTGAAATAAATGAATATGAAAACACATAGGTCAAATCTGTGCAATGCTGCTAAAACAGTAAATTTATAATACAAAAATAGAGAAAAATTTATGATACAAATGCTTGAATAATGGTCTCAAATCAATGAACCTGATCACTGAATCATGTTAAGAAACTAAAAATGAAGAGCAAATTGGATTCAAGTTAAAAAGGAAATAATAAAGATCAGAGTAGAACCCAATAAGTAGAAAACATAAAAAAAAATCAATGAAATAAAAATATAGTTCTTTGAGATTAAAAAAATTGATAAACCCTTAGACTGTTCAAGAAAAAAAAACTGAGAAGAAAAAAATTAGCAAAATCAGGAAATAGATGATATCAACACAGAGTCTATAGATATCAAGGGAATTCTAAGGATAATGAGGGAAGATTATTAACTTTATGACAATGAATTGATAACACTGATGAGCGGGACAAATAACTTGAAAGATACAAACTACCAAAGTTTACTGAAGAAACAGATAACTCAAACTGCCATACATCTATACAAGAAATGGAATATAAAGTTAAAAAACACCCCACAAAGAAAGCTTGCTTAAATGGTTTCACTAGTGAATTCTACCAAACATTTAAGGAAAAAATAATAACAAGCACAGAAACTCTTCAAAAAAAATTGTAGGGGCACCTGGATGGCACAGTCAGTTGAGGGGCTCACTCTTGGCTTCAGCTCAGGTCATGATCTCAGGGTCATGAGACTGAGCCCCACATCAGGCTCTGCCCTCAGCACAGAGTCTGTTTAGGACTCTCTTTCCCTCTCCCTCTGCCCCTCCTCCCTAAAATAAATAAATCTTTAAAAAAAAGTTTAAAGGAGGGACATTTCCCAACTCAAATGGCAGCCTCACCCTCAAAACAAACAAAAACAAACAGACAAAACCAGGACCAGAAAAGTATCAATAAAAAAAAGTAAAGAATCAATAACCTTCGTGAATACAGATGCAAAAATTCCAAACAAAATTTTAGCAAGTACAATATAAGAATATATAAAAAGGATAATACATCATGACCAACTGGGATTTCTCTCAGGAACACAGGCTGGTTTAACATTTGAAAGTCAATCAATACAACTTATCATTCAACAAATTACACTAGTAAATCCATGTGATCATCTCAATAGATGCAGAAAAAGCACTTGTCAAAAGCTAACA